CATGATTCTGCCGACGCCATGTGTCAGAGTTGGCTTAGTTTGTTTGGTGTTTTCTTCAGTGGAGATTATTTTGCATTAAATTTAAAAAAGTTTAGGTTTAAACATTTACATTTATAGTGAAATTTATTGGTGCACTGTTGATTGATAAAGACAAGACGACTTTTTATTTTGGAGAGTCACAGTAAAGTGGATTTTAAAAAAAACATCACTCTAAAATTTTTAATAAGCCTAAGTCTGGCAAAGTTCAAGCTAGGTGTTTTAGAAGGGCACTGTAAGGGAGTAACTCCACCTTCACCGCAAGTTTTCAACTTTTACTGAGATAAAAGGGCTAGAGTAATGAGCACGATTTGGAGGATTATCCGCTCCTACATGCAGGCTCTTCTCTGCTATCATTTCAGTCTCACAGATAATAAAAGTTGAGCTTCTGACAGACAGCTCTGGAAACTAGCTGCAATGATTCCACCAGCACCTTTCTGGGAGAGGGAGGAAAAGACTTTTAGCTTTAAAAAATAAAAAAAAAGACTCTTCTAAGTTGTTCTGAAAAATGTCTGAGTCCATGTCTGATAAAAGATGGTCACATTGACATTTACCCATCCGGAACAAAGTGACATAAAGAACATTTTGGACTTTATCTTTCCTCTGGCTTGAACACCATTCCAGCATTTAAACATATTTAGTTTTTGGTGTCCTGTCATACAAGGCCTACAAAACACATTTTTTTGCCTCACAGGTTACTTTTATTTTATAAAGATATCCAGGCATAATCAAGGCGGACTCAATAGCAAAGCTGACTGTTTTATCATCACCATTTTGCAACGTTGACAGGTGTTTAACCTGTGATTTACATATATAATCCTCTAAAAATTGTCTATAAAATTACCTTTAATAATTGTTGGCAGGAAAAAAATTAAAATTCATATCCCCCTTTTTTCTCTCTCCACGGTACGTCTGAGAATTTGAGTGGTCTGTACATTTGTTCATTTGGATGTAGCATTAGGCACATTACCAGTTAGTTATGGCTCGTTTACCATTGTTTCCTACAGAATAGGTAGAAGGTTCACAAACAGTAATGCAAACGAGGTGGAATCGACTCTTTTAGTGGAATGGAGACGAGCGTGGTGTTGCTGGTTTTTGTATACATTTATATACAAAATGACAATAAAAGTTGTCTAAGTTGTAAAGATTCTCAGTCATCCAGTCAGTCCAGGTCATAGTCGCTCCAAAAAAGTAAATAAAAAAAAAAACAGTGGACTTTGTTGTCTACGTTTTAAGACTTTCGATTTCCATCCAGGAAGCTTTTTCAATTCAAGATGTCTGGATTAGTGTTGAGTTCCAAGCTTTATTGAGTAGCCCAATAAAGCCTTGTTTGGCTTAGAAAACATGCAAATAGAACCGATAGAACAGGTCTGCCCCTTAGTAATGGGCATCGTTGAGGTCTTTGGTAGCTTGCAATACCAGTACTGGTTTATGCCTCTGAAAAGGGGGGGTCGTTAGGGGCCTTGCATCGTCTTTGTCCCTTGCAGGGCGATGAGGATTATGATAGTGGGAAGGAATTAACTCCCTCGCTGCGTTGTAGGTTTTTGGGAGCTGAAACCTGAGTCCACCCTTTCTGTTTAAGGTTATTTTTCTCTCATAACATAAATTACTTCCTTTTCCCCCCCTTTCAGACCAACTGTCTTCTTTGTCCAAAATGTGAACTTTCAGGTCCTCAAAAGAATGTCCGTTGTCCATAAGGTGTGGATGTACAGCCAGTTCTTGTCCAGAGGACGTAGCTCTCCTGTGTGGTCTATGCTCTGTTTAGAAAGATTTATGAACTTATTTACTAATATTATGATGCCAGAAACAAAACTTCAAGATATGTAGAAGGTCTGCAGTCTGATTCTGTCTGTAAAATAAAAAAACATGTTAATTTTAACCAGTAACTGGGAGTCATGGTCCTCTGAGAAGCCCAGCTTTTTTTTAACTAGTAAAGAAGAACAAACTGTTTTCTCAAACTTCTTGCATTATAATACTAACTTGTTTAAACTTACAATCTGTTGCTTTTTTTTTTTTAGCTGAAAAACCTCTGTATGTCTATTTTATCCAACCCGTCTCCTAACTTTTACGAATCGAAGTAGCTGCTGGTTAATATTCACTGAGTGCTGCTTTGCTTCTCTCCTCCAATCATGTAGCGGTTCTCTAAGCAGTGAAATAAGGCAAATCGGGTGTCTCAAAGCGACATTTCCGATGATGTTAGACCAAATGCGGGAAACGAGAGCACCGGGTGAGAGGGGAAAAAAAAAAAAAAAAAACACAGATTCAAAACGCTGTGAATACAGACAGCTGACCCAACCTCTGTTACCTCCGCTGGCTCCCAGCTTCCGCCACCTGGGTTCCTGGAGCTGACGGCTCGTAGTCGGTTTCGACTATGCGCCGCACTGTAGTCGACCAAAATCCCGGATGATTTTGAAATTCCGCCCGGACAAAAATAGGACGTCTGGTCACCCTAGCTAATGTTAGCACCCCTATCAGGGTTTTGGGATAGTGCGGTATTGTGGGCTTTTATGGTTTGAACACACCAAAAAAAAGAAAGAAAACAAGCCAATTTCACACCTAAGAGTTTCTGGCTTTTTTTTTTTTTTTTTTACTAAATCTAAACACCAACAACCCATTAAGTTTACATTACCTTAGTTTCCTTCGGCTGCCAGAAGCTACAAGGATAATTAGCTTTTCTGTTTTGCGAAAATGCATGGAGGGAAATGTTGAAATTTGCCTTTAGAAATGTAGCACTTTGGCGTGGTGGGCCATGAAATCTTGAAACCTGTATTATGAAATTTAGGCAGGATCGGGATGAGTCGGTAATAAAGATGACACACAGATACACACACACACACACTGTTTCTGCTAGAGTAAAATGTGTCGTTTTATTCCGCCACAGAAAACAGCAAAACAAGCACATCAATCAAGGCACGGTGCTGAATACAAAATATATTGTTCCAATACAAATTATATTGTCCCCCTTACCGTGACACAAAGGATCGGAGAGCCAGCCGACCCAAGCAGGGCAGCAACACACAGCTAGGCGTTCGTACGCAACCCTAGCAGACTCTGCCAGTGCCAACCGCCACCCGCCATTAATGCCAAACTTCAAAGGAAAATGTTTCGCCCAATCAGGAAAAGTAACCGCTCCCTCTCACGCCTGGAGCATTTTACAGAAAACCAAAACATTGTGCCGGCATCCCCTGACCTCACCCAAGGTTTGTGGACAGCTGATACAAAAAAAACAAGTTATGCTCAGAGCATGGCACCGAGAGCTCGTGAGTACAAAAACAAATTATATCATGCTCTCAAGGACACAGAAACTTAGATAATGAGAGTGCTTAGGTAATACGAGTGCTTCATTTGTGAAAACTTATAAACCTTGTATACAAAACTTGTATGATTGTCAAAGAACATAAAATATAAAATCCATATATATCAAAACATCTGTGAGAAGTTAACACAGTACACTAGCACATGCTGACTGTATTAAGACATGGTTGACCGCATTAGAGAGCTTTAGGTAGTTCTAAGCTTTGACAAAACTGGACGAACGTTGGATTCATTGTATGACCTCCCCTTTGAATTGAACTTGAGCCTTTTTAGTATTTTCATTTGGCCAGTTCCTCCTGGTACTGTCATGTTGGGGTCTAATCTTCTAACCCACATGCAGAAACACTCTCAGGAGACAGGGAAAAGGTTAAATGGTTTATTGACAATGTTTACAGTGAAATGTGAACGGGGTCTTGGCTCGTCAGGCTGGTCACGGAAGGGAAGCAACTAGAGGAGGACAGGTCGGTTAGAGTGGATCCAGGAAACTTGCAGTTGAACGGCGATTTGAGTTAATACCTGCTCAGAGGGTATTCTGACCGGCAGGGGGGGAACCTTGAGGGTCCAGAGGCTGATCGGCAGGCTGAGGGCAGAGGCAGAGACGGAGGCTGAGGCGGAGGGCAGACAGGCAGGTTCCAGGCAGCGATAGATCTCTCCAGGGTTTGACTGATAACCAGATAGTCAGGATCAGAGAGGCAGAAGAACACAGGGTCAGACAGGTTCTCCAAAAATTCAGAGAAACAGATCAGAGTTAGCTGGCTCAGGTTTGCTGGTACCATTACTGGCAAACACTCTGGCAGGGAAGTGTCAGCCTCCTCCTCTTGAAGTAGGCCTCCAGATGAGCAGATGGAAAACAGGTGTGCAGAAGTCAGCTCATGCCCTCAGGAGGAAGATCTCAGGCTCCCTCTGGTGGAGAAAGGTAGACAAGCCTCCAGATCCCAACAGATACGGTTCTTCAATGTTCCATATTTATTCCGCTTGTGGACAGTGGATCCTTCATGAATTAATTCTAATTCTAGTGTGGTAATCATCAAACTTCAAATCAGCAGAATAAAATGAATAAGAAATATTTGAATCAAATTAACTTCTTGTTTTATCAACAGGAGCAATTTTTTCACCTAAAAGTTGTCTTTAATTAGGGGCTGTTTTTTTGTTTTTTTTTCTTATATTAGAGTTTGTTTGATCTTATGACAATAAAAGAGAATACAAAAGAAATCCCGTCAGGAAGTAAGCACTTTCTGGCAGCTCCGTTTAAGCTTTGATCGCAGTTTAATACTGAAGATGCAGGTGATGATGTGCTTTAATAGCAGGTGGAAACAGAGCTGAGATTGGAGGCCTCTATGTGGTTTATTGTGATGCTGATACCCAGCCAGCGCTGCCCCGTAAGTGGGCTTCTGATTGATGTGATGAGGTTGCAATTAGCCCTGAGCAGGATTTGAAGAATCTCTAATGAAGCTGAGCGCCACTTTATGAGTCAGAAGTCAGTACTGAAGTATAGTTAAACATACATAATCATCTGACCATCCTAGCAGATATTTTTAACATTGCTTTTATATATTTCTCTGAGTTTCCCACTGTGATGTTTTAGACATTTATGTTTCATCTGGTCTGAACTCTTCTTAAAATCTAGGCTTTGTTTTTTCTCCCTACAGATGAAAGAGAAGACGTTCAGAAGAAGACTTTCACAAAATGGGTGAACCTACAGTTGGCTAAGGTAAGACATGCTGCTTGTGTCTCCTAGGATAAAATTAAATGTAGTGTGTTTGATTCTTAACGTGAACCATCTAGCTAAACCGTCCACACACAATGTATGGTTTTACAAATAAGTATTTGAACACCCTGCTATTTTGCAGGTTCTCCCACTTAGAAATCATGGATGGTTCTGAAATTGTCATCGCAGGTGCATATGCACTGTGAGAGACATAATCTAAAAAAAAAGAAAGTTTAGAAATCGTAATGCATAATGTTTTATCTATTTATTCATTTGATACAGCTGTATGTAAGTATTTGAACACCTGATAAAATTGATGTTAAGATTTGGTACAGTAGCCTTTGTTTGCAATTACAGAGGTCAAATGTTTCCTGTAGTTTTTCCACCAGGTTTGCACACAATGCAGGAGGGATTTTGGCCCACTCCTCCACGTAGATCTTCTCTCGATCAGTCCGGTTTCTGGGCTGTTGCTGAGAAACATGGAGTTTGAACCCCCTTCAAAGACTCTCTATTGTGTTTAGGTCTGGACTGGCTAGGCAACGGCAGAACCTTGATATGCTTCTTAGTGAGCCACTCCTCCACAACTGCTTTGGGTCATTGACATGTTGGAAGATTCAGCCTCCACCCATCTTCAATGCTCTACCTGAGGGAAGGAGGTTGTTCCCAGTCTGATGCTTCACAGTAGGGATGGTGTTCTTGGGACAGTACTCATTTTTCTTCTTCCTCCAAACACGGTTAGAGGAATTATGACCAAAAAGTTCTAATTTGGTCTCATCTGACCACATGACTTTCTCCCATGATTCCTCTGGATCATTCAAATGGACATTGGCAAACTTAAGACAGGACTCGACATGTGCTGGTTTAAGAAGATTTCATGATTGTAAACCATAACGTCTTTGTGTATTACCCACAACAACTTTGGAACCAGTGGTCTTAGCTTTTATCAGGTAATTGACCAGCTCCTCCCGTGTAGTTCTTGGCTGATTTCCCATGAGGTGAGATCTTGCATGGAGCCCCAATCTCAGAGAGATTGACAGTCATGATTAGCTTCTTCCATTTTCTAATGATTGCTCCAACAGTGGACCTTTGTTCACCAAGCTGCTTGGCAATTTCCCCGTAGCCCTTTCCAGCCTTGTGGAGGTCTACAATTTAGTCCCTAGTGTCTTTGGACAGCTCTTTGGTCTTGACCATGTTAGTAGTTGGATTGTATAGGATGGACAGGTGTTTTTATCCAGCTAACGAACTCAAACAGGTGCATCTGATTTAGGAGAATAAATGGAGTGGAGGTGGACATTTTAATGGCAGACAAACAGGTCTTTGAGGGTCAGAATTCTAGCTAATAGACAGGTGTTCAAATACTTATTTGCAGCTGAATCATAGAAATAAATAGTTATTGTGTCTCTCACAGTAGACATGCACCTCAATGGCAATGTCAGACCTCTCCATGTTTTCTAAGTGGAACAACTTGCAAAATGTCAGGGTGTTTACTTATTTTTCTCACTGTTTATGCAGATACCAAATTGTATTTTTTAATATAATGTTAAATGTGTTTCTCTACATTGCTATAGAATTTATACATTTGTTTTTTCTACAAAATATCTGTATATTTTCTCTTTTTTTTGCTTTGTTAAAAAAGGGGAGATGATTCTGCATCCTGCATTTTCATGGAAAAACATACCATTTCGTCTTCCTTCACACTTTTCTACCTCAATGCTTCAGATTTTCTAGTGAAGGCTTAATTTACTTGACTGCCTTTACCTCAGCTCTCCCACACAACAGCTTAAATCATGCCCTTATTTTTATCCGGACACTTTTTATAAACCTGTGCTTAAGATCTAGAGACTAAATTTGATAAATTTCTAATTAGTTACTAAAATCATTGAAATTTTCATTATTAGCTTACAGATTAAATCTTAAAATACTTTCCAAATTGAAGCTGGTGAAGTTGTTTCAATGAGAACAAAGGGCAACAGAGCACAGGCTGCAAGGGCATACTACCAGACAATTAAGCAGTGGTTTGCAAGCAGGTTTCAGTAGCTTGCCATCCATTTAACCCAAAAAACAGCTCCACATGGCCTGAATTAGATAAACGGGACTAGAAAATCTCCTAAAACTGCAAATTAGCTTGAGATTTTACATTTACTTCCTTTTGTGTGCCCAAAAAAATCATAGCATAAGTAAGCAAATAAATGCTTTGATGGTTTTACAATAAAAAATTCCCATTTATAAAGGTTTGTGAACCTTTCTAGGTATAAATGTATCAAGATGCAATCATGAACTATGTTAGCATCAGCTGCAAGCAACGAGTCGTCAACAAGAATTTCATTCACTACTCATCAAATCCATTCATAGTTCTGTGTGCTTGACTCCAAGCACACTGACAGCTGGCATCTAAATAATATTTGCAAAATGAGCTTTGAGGCACATTAAATGGAAAAAAGCAAACGGGAATGTTGTTTGAAGTTACAAACCCAAAGCAGCTCCCTCTCTTGCTTCTATTTCCACTTCCAAGCAGTTAACTGATACTTATTGGGAAGTAGTGGTGATGCAGAGAAAGGCAGGGAAAGCCAGCCTTTACTTTGGATTGCAGTTACAGTTAATGATTTGCTCAACAAACCAGGATTTTATTAGTGTAGGCATCATTGTATGGTGTTACAATAACTTCAAGCCAAATATTTTTTATGTTTAGAAAAGCCCAGTCAACCCTGAGCACAAGAAATCCAGCCTCTATGTGATCTATTTAACCATCTTTAAGTCAGTCATACACTGTATGTTTTTTTTTTTGCCCTTTTCAGGGCGACTTTCAAGTTGTGCAAGAATTTTTCGATCGGGAGAAGTTTCAGCCAGGTCATGAATCATGTAGTTTACAGGGGGTAACGAGGGGCGATCAGCCTCTCATGACCACCTCCCGATCAGGAATCATAAGGTCAACTTCAAACATGTTTGAAATTTAGTCGGCCGTCATCAGATCGCATCAGAACTTTGGGCCACGCAGTGTGAGAACATGCATCGATAGCTGTGAACTTTTAAACCCTGTGGTTTCGTCATACTCTTTAAGCTGTAGCTGTGTGCAAAGATTGAAAATATCGCACAGTGTGTACCTGGCTTTAGCCTCTAGTTGCTCCTACATATGAAAAATTTCCATATTAGCATGTTCAGTTTGACTTGAGTAAAACTGACTTAATCACTTATTTTATGAGCGACAGCCGTTTTTCCTAAAAGAGGAAAACGCATCATCATAATGATATATTGTGTATTAAAAGACAGATGTGATTTAATGTTCAAGAATGGATTCACTAACTAATCTGCATCCTTACCTGTCCGCCGTCCATGAAGCTAAAATTTACAATATGTTAACTTAAAGAAATCAGAATATTGTAGGCAAAGGTACAACAACAAGTCCATTCCTAGCCCACCAGGCAAATAGATGAAACCCTGTAAGGTGCTTATTAATTATAAGTTAATTATAAGTTTGCGTACATATACAGGTATACAAATTGACATCTTCATTTATGCATTACTCAAAGACAACCATTGTAAAATATCCAGTAGGACTCATTGGTGCTCACCGTCCTTCTAATGTTGCACCGATGCCATTTTTTGGCCCCGATACCGGTATCTGATACCTGGCGATGCAGTATCGACCTATGCCATACCGATACAGTACCATCTGTTTGAAACTGATGTGTGTGTATATGAAGAACTGCATACTACTTGGATGTAAAATAATTGCAATCATGGCTTTGTCAAGCTTCTGCCTCCCTTTGTGAAGCAGGAAAGACTAATACAAAGTGAATCCAGTAGAACCTTTTATTGCCTACCTGGTGTGGGTGACAATAGTTGAATAAACTTTGGGCTCTCAAAATGGTATCGGTGTTATACAGTTATACAGTGGCCACAGATCCTTATTTACCCCGCAAACATGTTGAAATGTCCACTCCAGCACACACACACATAAGCAAGCATTTCATTATTTTTTTATGTAGCAGTAGTCCTTTTTGTTGGGAAACTTTTTATGTATAAATATGGGTGAGATGAGATCCATCCCAGCAACCGCCTTATCAATGCATCCTCGCACCTCCTTAAGGATAAATGGAAGTGTTTAACAGCTGTTCCTCTCAGGAGTGGGTACAGGGTTGTGCATGCACATTATATTTTAAATCAGATAGGGCGGGTCTTTTTTTAAAATTTGCGAGAAAGATTCCAGATTCTTAGGGTTTCATATAACTTTTTTTAATGTACATTAAGATTTTAATCTAACTAGGCATATTTTGATGGATAAGAATTTAGGACCCATAATTCAGGCAAGATAGACGGTGAAATACATAAAAAGCATTTATTCAAACAATGATGGAACATATCTGCAGTGGCGACGGCTGCAGCGGCTAGGGCATCGGAACCAGGAAAGTGTTTCAGAGAGAAGATAGTGACTACCATAATCTTACGGAGGATGATTATGAATGCATGAGTCACTTACCTGGTTTAACAGTTCAGTCCATGCCCAGAGAACGAGGATGATTCCAGCCAGTCGACTGAAAAGAGGGGACGCTGCCAGAGAGTTCCAGAGGCAGAAGCCTAGAAGGCTGCTAAAATGACAAGAGATCAGATCTGACAAAGCTGACAAAGGAAGGCAGAATCCAGGCTCGGTCCACAAAATAATCCAACAGGAGTCCGAAGATAGTCTAGGCACAAAGATCAGACAGGGGCAGGCAGGCTTAAAGTTCCAAATAGAGAAACAGACCAGGATCAGGCAATCAGAACTTCACAGAAACGCTCGAGAACTCTCAACACTAAATGCTCAAAAATAATTTGAAACTGATGGCTGGGACCAAGGAATTAAATAGAAGAAGGAGCAGGTGAATCAATGAGCAGTGATGAGAAACAGGGCAGAACTAGACAAGTGAATGAAATGAGCAATCAAGCCAGCCATCAGCCCCAAAATCATGACACATATATGACAGGTCTTGAAAATGAAAGTTCATAGATGTTGCTGTTTTGAAAAG